AATGGTCACACACGTCTGTCTATGTACAGCTTCGGTAGCTAACTGCTGCTTGTTTCATCTTCTCTTGTCTACTATTCGCTTGTGGCAGGGTTGAATGAATATGTACGTGACAGTTCGGCCAATTCTGACATTGGCATCGTCTCGATGTCACTGCCTTCATCTTCGTCGGAGTTATGTTCATCTAGTTCGGGCGGTATCTTGCACCATGGTTTCATTTTATCTGATGCATAGACCGAACAGAATCGTTTTTGCTTGTGTTGCATACCTTCGATATCTTCTATCAGGTATCTATCGTTATCCAAAACTTTGGTTACCACGTATGGACCTCGGTAACGTACGTCGAGTTTTCGCGATTCGCCCGTTGCTTGCAAGTCGTTCTCGATGACTACTAAATCGTCCACCTGATACACCATAGGCTTTCGATGCATTGCGTTGAATCGTTGCTTCCACTTCTCTCGCTGTTTTTGCATACACTGTAAAGCTTTCTCGCGTTTATCTGCGATACTATCTTCGTTAGTGTCATCAGTTGCTGCTGCCAAGAGTCGGTTGCGTATAACGTCACGCAACTTAAAATCGTAAATTAGTTCATTTGGACTAATCCCAGTAGTAGCATTACGTTGGGAGTTTACGCTCCATTGTGATTCCCGTAGTTGGTCATCCCACTGTTTTGCCTGGACACCAGAAGTACGGAGAAAATCTAAAATGACTTTGTTGGCTCTCTCCACTTGTCCGTTTGCACGTGGAGTTCTCACTGCGGTTTAATATGTTGAACATCGTTTTGCTGACAGAATTCGGTGAATTGTTTCGACGTGAAGGCCGTACCACGGTCGCTTATTATACGGCTTGGTAGTCCAAAATAACATGTCAGCTCGTTGAGTACCTGCAACACCGGCTGAGTCTTGGTGTTACGCACAGGTTTTACCACGAGGTATTTCGTAAACGCATCGCTTATAACTAAAGCATATATATTACCTCTTCTGCTTCGCATAAATGGACCCAGATAATCGACATGAAGCGTACGAAATGGAACAGGCTCCACCTCGCTTATATGTAACTCACCTTCTGGCTTGCCCCCTTGCTTTTGTTATAACAACAATCGATGCACGCCGCGATGTATTCCCTCACGTACTTTCGCGAAGCCGTGGAAACGAAGCCGAAGACGAAGATGAAGACGAAGCCGAAGACGAATTGCTTGCGTTGCGGACAAGCTGGCGAGTGTACATAGTGGAAGATGAATGATATGAAGATTTGTTTCTAAATAAAACCCTTTTTTTTAGATATAATCAAAAGAAAATAAAGAAAAAACAGCAATTCATGAAATAATTTGTATAGGACAACTTTTGGAGAATTTCGCCACTTGTATTATGTGTTACGGCAAGACGGACAGACATTTTTCAAATATACAAGAATACCAATTAATACGTTTGATTACATTTTGCCAAAAATTAAGCCAATTTCTTGAAAAACGCGTTTTTTCACAATTGCAAACAATTAAATAAATTGTAAACAACTCATCACATCAAGCGATTCGTCTTTGAAAAGCAGTACCGCACAGTTTCAAGCTGACTGCTTGCGCAACATCTTCATCTTCGGCATCGTCTTCTTTTGCACTGTGATCACTTTCACATTTTTACTACTGCACTGTTTTTCGTCTTCGGCTTCGTCTTTATCTTCATCTTCGGCTTCGCTTCCACTCTGTCTGCAACCTAAAAGATGTACTGACAAAATGTATGGATCGCGTTTTCAAAGTGCTACACGTTCAATATTTATTGACGGTATTGCTATCCGCGATCCAGATTTCAAAATTTTTTAGAAATTTTGCGAAATGGATCACGATCCATCAATACTGCATGCTACACCGTCAATAAATATAGCGATACTTGCATTTCCACGACAGCTGGTCCTACGTACCGGAATGACTCGGATTTTACTCGACCAAGGGCTGTTGTTTCGGCGATCTAACCCCGTTTACGTCGGCGAAATCCATCAAACGTTGCTCGAGCCTAGGGCTACACCTTCTCCGCGCCCTTCTGCGCAGGGCTGGCATAGAGTCAAACCCAGGGCCAGAAATCTACACCTGCTGCGTATGCCAGAGACGACTGCATACAAACTCCACTTCGGTCAGGTGCAATGCCTGTGACGGGTGGTGTCACCTTCGTAACTGCTCGGGCCTACGTACGCAGCGGCAATGGACCACGTCGTTCGTGGCCCCAAGCTGTGCGAACCGGACCGCCTCCACGGCAAACCACCACCCGCCTGGGCAGCACAAAATCAACACACCCACACCCCAACACAACACAGCAATAGACACACAAACAAACACAATAGCACCCACACACCGCCGCCGGCAACTCCTAGTCCCTCCGACAATCTGCTCTGTCTGTCAGTCAATAATATAACGTAATTTGACATCAGTCAAGTGCAACTCTTGCCTTGGCAGGTGCCACTTTAGGGCATGCTCAGGGCTTCGCAACACTCGTGATTGGACGAGTAACTATGTGGGCCCCTGCTGTGCTGCCCCGTCGAGATAGACTTTGGTGACCACGCTTCGTCGGACCCGGAGCGATGCGCGAGCTATTTTAGCCGGCAGTTCATTCTGCATCCTCCGGTGGATAAAGACAAACGTCGAGTGACTAGAAGGTTGCACAAAATGTCAAAACCTAGTGCGCCTCTTGTTTTCACCAGCGGTGAGGTAAGGATAGCCATCGGGAAGGCGAAAGCCTCCAAAGCCATTGAACCCGACGGAATATGCATGTTGATGCTGAAAAAATTTGGGTCCTGCGGGAGTAGCGTACCTGACGGAGGTCCTCAACCTGTCTATGGCCACTCTCGTCATTCCAGACATCTGGAAAATGGGGAGAGTGGTCCCACTGCTCAAACCGGGGAAACCAGCCAACAAAGGGGAGTCTTATCGCCCGATAACTCTCCTTTCCCCGGTAGCGAAGACACTCGAGGCCCTGCTGCTCCCGTACTTCACGAACCACCTGACCCCAGCGAAGCATCAACATGGGTTCCGTAAAGTGCATAGTACAACAACAGCACTTAACGCCATAAACACTCGGATAACTCGTGCCCTAAACCGAAACCGCCCCTGTGAGAGAACTATTCTAGTAGCGTTGGACCTGTCCAAGGCGTTCGACACTGTCAGTCATTCAACGCTACTAGAAGATATAGAGGCCTCCTCACTCCCACAGGGACTCAAACGGTGGTCGGCGAATTACCTGAGTGGTCGACACTCGTCAGTAATCTTCAGAGACAAAACCAGCAAGCCACGTAAAATTAAACAGGGGGTACCACAGGGTGGTGTCCTGTCCCCGCTACTGTTTAATTATTACATATCAAAGCTTCCTCAGCCACCAGAGGGTGTTAATATAGTCTCATATGCTGACGATTGTTCGATCATGGCGTCTGGGAATTGAATTGATGACTTGTGCTCAAAAGTAAACGGTTACCTCTCCGAACTTTCTCGCTTCTTCACTGCAAGGAGCCTAGCCCTATCCCCTGCGAAATCCTCGGCAACCCTTTTCACCACCTGGACGAAGGAGGTCAGACTGCACTGGGTATTCACGTCGATGACGTAACAATACCGACGGTGAATAACCCGAAAATCCTCGGAGTTACCTTCGACAGTCTGCTCTCCTTCTCGGAGCATACAACCGCAATTGTCAACAAAGTACAGAGCCATAACAATGTCCTCAAGTCGCTGGCCGGCAGCACTTGGGGCAAAGATAAAGAAAAGTTGTTGGCAACATAAAAGGCAATTGGCCGGCCGGTTCTGAACTACGCAGCGCCCGTATGGTCGCCGGGGACTAGCAGGACGCAGTGGATGAAGCTGCAGGCCTGCCAAAACACGACATTACGTACTGCGACAGGATGCCTCCTGATGACGCCTCCACATCACCTTCATGACGAGGCCCAGATGCTCCCGGTAAAGGAGCATAACTTAATGCTTTGCAAGCAGTTCCTCGCTGGGAGCTACAGACGTGGCCATCCCAGCTTGCAACTGCTCGCGGAAGAGCCCTCGCCACGGCACGTCAGGAGGCATCTTTACGAACTGACAGACGAAGTCCAGATGTATATTAAACAACCTCTGGACCCGACAACCTACCGAGAGGCCCTCAACGGCATTCACAGGGAATCAGTCTCAAGTTATGTAGACTCCCGCCCTGTGAATGCCGTTCTAGGCACACAACCACCGGACGTGGACGGGACAGAACTTTGTCTGCCTCGGAAAACCCGCACAACAATAGCCCAACTTCGCTCTGGCTATTGCAGCAGGCTCAACAGCTACCTGAGCAGAATCAACGAGGATGTGCCCAACCAATGCCCGGCATGTGGAGAGTCGCCACATGACTCCCGGCACCTCTTCACATGCCCTGAGAATCCCACTCAGCTAACGCCCCTGTCCCTATGGACAGCCCCTGTGGAAGTCGCACACTTCCTGGGCCTCCCTTAGCTGAAATAGACGACAACGATGATGAATGAACCGTCCCGAACGGGGCTTAGTAGCCGCTACAACAACAACAACATAGCAATACTTGGATCACGTTCATAAATACTGACCGTGTGACAGAGCCTAAATGACTATATCTGTTGTTGTTGTTTTTATAGGGTCGCTCAAAAGTTTCGATACCAAAATTACTTGGTATCGAACGAAAAGTATCGAGTATGTGCTTGTATTTACTCGTATCCTTTCATATCTATTCATTGACATGCCCTTTATTTATATGTTATCCAGTTAAATAAGTTAATAGTAAAAGCAAATATTTTTAAAGCAAGCATTGTAAATATAAACGAAATCGGGACATAAACTTTACTTCAGGAACTTTTAGTGGTTATTCGTTTTCATGTAATACGTTCTAAATATGAACCGATTCGTACTTTATATACGGGTTTTTCAAATATTTCAACTCCTGTGCCACATATCGGTTTAACTTATCTTTCTTATTGCATTGTCATTGGGTTTTGAGTCAACTGTGAAATTTCAAGTCACTGGTCATTAGGAGGTAGGTCAAAAATTGACTGCAAGATTTGCCCCTAACAAACATACATACATACAAACATACAGAGCAAGTTAAATAAAAGCTTGTAAAAATATGGGGAATTCACGGTCATCACGAAGCCCTTCTAAGCGTCATCACCATAAAAGCAAACACAAAAAACATGGCAGACAACGCGATGTTCGCAAAAGTTCTGTTCTTGATGAACGAAATGAACGCCAATCCCGAAGCAATAATTTTGTGAAAAAAAAAAAAAAATCTTGTGGCTCAACTGGTCCTAGTGAGTTTCAAAGTGATGACCGCGGATCTAGGTATACAAAGAATATGTTGTACCTATACCATTTTCTAATTACATATAATTCAACTTTTTTTGCTTATCTTAGGAAACATTCCCCTACTGTTAACAGTTCTAGTGATAGTCAGCAATCTAATGACTGCAACGATCTTGATAAAAATCTTAAACGTCGCAAACAAATTGATGCTGTTCGAGCTGCAGATGTTTTCATCCAACGTCGCCAGCAACAGAAGGAACAGCAGGTGAGTTTTCATATTGCGAAGTGTAAAACAAGTCTAGGAACAAGGGAACAAATGCAGTTGGGCTCCAAATATAAAAACAAAAATAAAAAATTGGAATCGATAGAGATGATTGAGCTCAGTATAACGGTATACTCCTTTTTTTGGGCAAACAACAAAAACAAAAATTATCAAAGGTTAAAGTTCAAAATAAGCAATTTTTGAGATCAATATTTCTTAAAAACGAATGGATGGATCTTGAAAATTTTGATCTCATTTGATAGGAAATTTGATTCCCTTTAATTTGGATACGTACTCTATAAATATGTTGAATAGTTCTTACACTCTATACTCTATATACACATATGTTGGATAGTTCTTACAAAAATTGAATTAATGTTAAATAATTATAAAAAAACGCCTTTTGCAGAGAAAACCTTTCTGCGTAGGCGGCCTTCGGCCGCACTTAGGGATTATAACCTCACAAAGTAGAATTCTCTTTCTGTTTTGCGAAGAAAAGGCACTGAACACCTTTGGCAGAGAACACACCTTTCTGCGTAGGCGGCCTTCGGCCGCACTTAGGGATTATAACCCTCACAACGTAGAATTATCTTTCTGTGTTGCGAAGAAAAAGCACTGAACACCTTTTGCAGAGAACACCTTTCTGCATAGTCGGCCTGCGGCCGCACTTAGGGATTATAACCCTCACAACGTAGAATTATCTTTCTGTGTTGCGAAGAAAAGGCACTGAACACCTTTTGCAGAGAGCACCTTTCTGCGAAGGCGGCGTCGGCCGCACTTAGAGTTTGTAAGCTTTTTTATAATTATTTTACATTAATTCAATATTTGTAAGAACTATACAACATGTATACCACAAAGTATAAAGTACGTATACCAAATTAAAGGGAATCAAATTTCCTATTAAGTGAGATCAAAATTTTCAAAATCCATTCATTCGTTTTTGTGAAATCTTGATTTCAAAAATTGCTTATTTTGAACTTTAACCTTTGATAATTATTGTTGTTGTTTTCCCAAAAAAAGAAGTATATTATACTCAACTCAATCATCTCTATCGATTCCAATAAATTTTTTCTTAATTTGAGATTTGGAGCCCAACTGCATTTATGCCGGAACAAGTGCAGTTAAGGTAGAAAAACGAAAAAATTGGCGGCGTGGGCTTTAGTAGTCAGCCTCACCTTGTGTTTTAAAAAAACCAGGTGGAATTAACAAATACAACTTTGTCAGGATGTTAAAGAAGGTATCCTCTAAAACATGTTAACTAAAAAATATAAACAATATTTTATAAGTTTCTGTTGTTAAAATTTCTTAAGTCGTTCCACTTGGTTTCCTTAACAAAAAGTGCACTTGTCACATACTTTCATATATATAAATGCACATAACACTGTACTTAATACTTTACACATTTTTATTTTATTTTATCTTGTACAAGCTTTTACCCCCGGGGTTCACCCCACGTCCTTAAAATAACTCATTTATATAAACCTTAACTTAAGCATCTACCATAGATATGACTTCATATAAAATTTCAAATTCATGCGATGTATTTTTCCGAAGTTCTAGCTGAAACAAAATTCCACGCCTATGGGAGGTACCACCCCCCTTTTACAAACTCATTTATATAAACCATAAGCGCCTACCATAGATAGATAATTAATAGAGGTATGCACTGCGACCAACAGGTCTATTGTGCCCTCAGCCGTTTACAGTACCTCATCTAATCCTAGAGAGCCCAAAAAATTGAGGAAATCCCCAGGGGTTAGCGATTGTATTGCTTCGTCACTTGGCCAGTAGTGGCCCAGGTACCTCTCCCGTTTTCTCGCGACCGCCTCGCATTCGCTAAGCACGTGCACGGGCGTCTCCTCAGTCACGTTGCAGAAACGACATAGGTCGTTTGACCAGATCCCTAGTGCTTGTGTAGGTGGCCTGCAGTGGGTCTGCAGTGACCCGTCAGAAAACCTGTTATAATCCTTAGTTTTCCTTTGGATAGATTGATAATTGCCCTGTACCTCGTAAGGTTGTAGCCTCCCAGTAGGTGTTTTGCTTGACGTACACCTGTAGTGTTACGCCAGTGTTGATTCCTTAGTCTGTTCCTTTCTTTCCTCAGCTCTTCCTTGATTGTGCTAGGTCCAATCGCTAGGAAGGGCTCAGGCCCTATAGGCGACGAGGCGGCTGCCATTCTATCTAGTCGGTCCGCTTCCTCGTTGCCCGCAACTCCTATGTGCCCTGGTACCCAAGTTAATTGGATTTCGTTGTGCTCCGCCAGACTGTTGAGCCTATCGATGCACTCAAGAACCAAGGACGACTTGACCTCAAATGATGAGAGGGCCTTGAGTGCCGCCTGGCTGTCGCTCAATATTGAAATTCTCTCGTTACGGTAATTCCTACGTAGGTTAATCTCTGCACACAGACTGATGGCATAGACCTCCGCCTGGAAGATACTCGGGTATGTCCCCATGGGTACCGAGAGCTGTAGCCTCGGCCCATAGACGCCAGCCCCAATGCCTTCCGGAGTCTTCGAGCCGTCTGTGTACCATTGCAACGTGCTCGATTGGATCAGCCTCTCCATGAGAGAGGTGCTCCAAGTCGACTTGGGGCAAAGCTCTATTTTGAAATTCCTATCAAAGTTAACCGCCTTAGGCCTGTCATCTCTGGGGAGTAAAGCTAACGGAACTTAGGAGCCTAGCTTGTCTCTGTTCCTTAATGATAGGGTTTTGCCTCTGCCAAAGCCTTCTCTCGCGAAATTTAGTATAGTTCGCTTTGCAGCCTGTTCTATGGTAAGGTGCAGCGGCTCGAGCTCGAGAATCACCTCCAGCGCTGCCGTCGGACATGTGCGCATTGCCCCCGTGATGCATACACATGCCAGACGTTGCAGCTTGGTGAGGAATTGCCTCACCGTGGTGAGAATGGTTCCCGAGACCCAAGCCACTGCTGCATAGGAGACTATTGGTCTAACTATCATGGTATACATCTATCGCAGGATCTTGGGACTACAACCCCAGGTCTTCCCTGCCAGGCGTTTGCATACCATTACTGCCGTCGTAGCTTAGGAAGTGACCGCGCCAACATGTGCCTTCCACAGAAGTTTAGAGTCCAGTGTTAGTCCCAGGTATTTAACTTCGGTGGCGGCGTTGATGGCGACCCCATTCCAAGAATGTTCCTCATGCCTGGAAGCGTTCTTCTTCTTGAAAAAGGGACAATAACCGTTTTAGAGGGGTTGATGCTGAGGCCCATGTCCACGCACCAGCCTCTTGCCAGGTTTAGCGCCCTCTGCACTATATCACAGAGAGTGCTCACGAACTTTCCTATGGCGATAATCACAATGGCAGCGGATGCCATTGTCCGTGAAAATCCGTAGGAGTTCGTCCACAACTAAGGTCCACAGGAGAGGGGATAAGACCCCTCCCTGCGGGCAACCTTTTGTAGTTTTTTGCTGTACCACGCTGTCCCCGATGTCGGTTGCAGCGATTCTTGAATTTAGTAGCCTAGCTATCCACCTGTGGATCGTTGCCTGCACAGTGCGTCTCTCAAGTGCCCGGTCGACACTAATATGAGAGGTGTTGTCAAACGCCCCCTCGATGTCGATGAAGGCACAGAGTACTATCTCCCCACACTCAAGAGCACTTTGTATTTCCGTGGACAGGGCGTATAGTGCAGTGTCCGTCGACCTGCCCACTCAGTAGGCATGTTGGTCGGGGTGCAAAGGCGCTGCATTAAGGGTGTTGTTCCTAATTTCATGGTCGATGGCCTTCTCCATTGCTTTAAGCAGAAAGGAGGTAAGCCTTATCGGCCTGAAGGACTTAGCTAGAGAATAATATCTCTTTCCTATCTTCGGGATAAAAATAACCCGAGCCCTTTGCCACACCTCAGGGATTTGAGCGAACGCTAGGCTAGGCCTGGTCCGTCGGCACGGTGCCTCCCCCGAAGTGGGAGTGGCATCTGGGAAATGGGCCGAAAGCAGGGCAAGTGCCCTTTCCCCTTCGTTGCCTGAGTAGGTGCCATTGGCTAGCTGGATTGCTAGTCTGGTATCTGTATGGTCCCTTGCCAAGGCCTTGTGCAGCCTGGCGGCTGAAGGACTCGATGAGATGCCCTCACAGAACTTCCTGAAACTGTCGCGTTTAGCCTTCCTGATTTCTTTACTGTAATTAGTTAGGCTTGCTGAGTACTCAGCCCAGCACCCTGTGCGCTTTGCTCTATTGAATAGTTTGCGTACCTCCTTTCTGAGCACCGATATCTTCCGAGACCACCAGTTTGGCTGCGCCTTCCCTCCTGGTTTTGTCTCCGGGCAGCTTGAGTGAAAGGCATCTACAATAGCGCCATTTAACTCATTGACGGTGCTCTCTAGGCTCATGCAGTTAGTGTACCTACTCCTGGACTTAATTCCAGTTAGGTTTGACTCTAAAGTCTCGCTGTACTTTGCCCAGTCAGCTTTCCTGGTGTTCCTGTTTGCCTGCCTTGTTTTGACTTCTACTCTTAGTGCAAACTGGATAATCCTATGGTCTGACAGTGAGGGCTCCGTTGAGACCCCCCACTGGGTGACCAGAGGACTAGCCAGTCTGTTGCTAAGCGTGATGTCTAGTACCTCCTCTCTAGCCCTCGTTACAAAAGTCGGTGTTTGGCCAACATTGTGGATGCTTAGTTCCTCACTTAAAATGTACTCTAGGAGACACTCACCTCTGCGGTTCGTATCCGTGCTGCCCCACTCAACGTTGTGGGCGCTCGCATCGCACCCCATGATGAGGTGGAGCCGTCTCTTTCTGCAGAATTCCACTAGCTGCTGTACCTCTTGCGGAGGGGCGTAGTTGCTGTCCCCGGAAGATAGGCCGCGGCAAACACCACCTCTAGGCTTCTGCCACTTAACGAGGGCGTCGTCTGCACTGCGACCAAGTCCTGTGTTAGAAACTCTGTAATGCAAAAGTAATCAATGTTCCTCTTAAGCACTACACATGCTCTGGGCCTCTCGCAGGAGAGGTCCCAAATTACCTTGTTGTTGTTGTGGTTGAGGC